TAACTTATGACAATCACTGAGTGTTGTATCTATGATGTATGATAATTGTATTTTATGATGATTATCACTTGTTGCTTGTATATACAGTAAGTACACTGAGAGCTTATGCACCGGTGACAAATTCCTTGTGTGTCTCCAATCACATATAGCCAATAACTCCACTGTTATACATTTCAATTTCTGACACAAGCATGTAAATGTGTGTGATAACATTGTTGCATGCATTTCATCATGTTTCCCTGTCATCCATATCTCTTCAGAGACTGCTGCTTCTTCTGCTCATAAACATTTCATTCTCCAAGTCCCCCAAAAATCCTGCTGTTTTGATAATTTCCTTCTTATTTCTTCACGTATCTTTCCTTTTGGTTGTTTCTAAGCAAAGAAATAAATACACTAAGATTACTCTAGAAAGGACTATGTTGTGATAGCCTTTTCATCTTGTACTCTAACATATGCCTTTTAGAAAATATGTTGCAAGGATCTATAAAGCAGAATGGTTGTGTTTTCTTAATTGTTGACATCTGGCATGACGTTTCTGCTAAATCTTATAGAATTGAATTAAGTTCTGTCTGGAGGCTCCACACTGGGAAATTCAGCTGCCTATCCCAATTTAAGTCCAAGCACTTATCTGGAGGCACTGTCGTTTGAAGATGGAGAGCCACCTTGCCTTGCTAGAACAGCCGATGGGCAGACAGCAGTGGTTCTCTCCAGAGGCCCCATGCCATCACAGTTCACTTAACAATTGTGAAGGTCATTTAATGAACCAAAGCAAACAGCAAACCCAATGTTTGTTCACTTAATGATCCAGTTGATTTACTTAACAAGCACAGTAAAAATGTCATAAAATGAGTGATCCATTTTATATCAGCCTTGACTTATGACCCTAATGGGCAGGCTCCATTAGGGTTGCATCTCAGGGACTACCTGTATTTGGTTTGTATCTGTACCATATAGGAAACATATTCTTTCTGTATAAAATTAATAGTTATCTTCCACAGTAACTTTGTTTTTTAGATCCTTCCATGGAATTCAACATTTGATCTTGTTAAACCAAAGATAATTCCAGAATTCCCAGTCATCAATCTTTCTCTCTGACTTCAGACTTCTAATATTTTCCTTTTTTCCATAGACATACTGGCATGACATAGTCATGTAGTATCAGCATTTCTCTTTGGTCACCACAAAGTAGTTTATTTAGAAAATGCTTTTTAGTCTAATTTTATCATTCAGTTCAATTTTAATTTAATATATAACTTAATTCATTCAATTTAGCTACTAGCTGATTTGAAACTGTTCACAATATAACAACAATAAAATAAACATAAAAAATAAAAAAGCAAGAAAAATAAGTGGAGGAAAAAATAAAGAACAAGAATATAAATATAAGTCCAGCCAATAACACACAAAATACTGTACATCCCAGAAGGAGCTGCATACTCTCCACCTCTAGCCCAGTACACCACTGGAAAAAGATAGTAGCAAATCCTTTTTCTATGTTCAGTTTTGGATCACAAATCCCATCACTGTCAAAACTGGTTCCATCAATATCAATCCATCCATCAAGGGGCGTGCCTAAGTGCACCACCGTGCCTCCTCTCCCTGTCCTATGGTCCCCATTTAATCGTATCTATTTCCTGTATTCCTACTCATGTTTATACTTATACCTATTATTTTGTAACCGATTGACAAATCAAATAAATAAATAAATAAAATATCACATGAGAAGGCCTGATTCTTAGTTTATCTAGGAAATGTCATACAATCTTATAAACTCACAAATTAATAAGCAAGCATCAAGAGATAGGGGAAATCCTCAGTGCTTTCCCGGCCTTAAATGGACAATTATTGCTATGCCTCAATCTTTCATTTTCCAATCCATATACATACAGTACTTAACAAAAAGACTATAGTTTTGATCTTTTCTATGGTATCTTTGTCAGAACCTTACTCTTGGATACTAGAGAGATCAAGAACTGAGCATAGATATTTTGTAGTCAATAGTTTGCTCTATCACTCTATTACACTCTGACTTGTTTTAATAAAGTTTTTTGAGTTTAAAAGTAAATGTTTTAATTTTTTGTAGAGAATTACAACACAGATGTTTTCCAAATTAAAATCAGCAGGGCCTATAATTAGGATAACAGGACTTGAGGTTTTTTTTCCGTAAGTTTTAAACATACTAAAAAGTGAGAGATTCCTTAGGAATGTTTCCTTGACCTCAGGTCTTTAAATACAGACTGACTGTTATAAAAGTTCCTGGAATAGAAAGGGTCGGAGACTGTTACTGCTAATTACTAATTCCATGTTTATCCTGTTTGTACACAATGATTATCTTAATTTGTTCTTTATCCTGTGTGATCTAGTGATAGGAAACATCATAATTCCTTTAACATAGTATAGTTAGTAGATTTACCAAAACGTTTTTCTCTTGCTCAAAATAATAGGGTTTTTTCCCCAATTTTCTTTGGTCAATATACTGTATTATCCAAATTATATCAAATAGATTCCTTAATTGTTAAAGGAGTGAGTCTGCAATGCACAAATGCAATTATTTCAGTATTTGTTAAAAAAAAAATCAGATGAGAACTCCAGAATAAATTGTGAATTAATTTCTCAATTGTCAAGAACACATTTTTACAGAAAGTTTTCTTTCTCTTCTCTTGGAATTTAAAATATTTAGATGGCACTTATCCGATAGCTTTAAAAATAAATAAATTCTGCAATCCATGTTATGTTATTGTGACCTACCTTGAAAGCCAACATTTGGAGGAAACCTAGCTTTAGAAATGTGTCTTGTGAAGGGCAGATGTATACAATCATTTGGGTCTTTATCCCTGTTAGGCACAGCAGTGTTTTTGTTGGATCAAGTCAAGTCAAATAGGCTTTCCTTATAAATTTGAGCTCCAATTATGATTCCTGGCATTATTAAGGTTGGAAGAAAACCCAATTGAAGAGGTTTTTTAAAAATGTGGTATTTATCTATTTCCAATAAAAATACATTCATTCTTATTTCAGTCTTTTGAAGGATTAGGTATAATAAAAATTAGGCTACACATCCCTCCATTTTTTCTATTTTTAACTTATGAGCAAGCTACTGAAGGAAAATGTTGATAAAATACTGCACTGAACTTTTTTATCTTATAAAAAAATAAAAGCAGCTAATCAATGGGAAATCTATGCCTTCATTGAAACGCATTGCTTTATTTTAAAGAATGATATTCTTTACTTCTCCAAGGGGTCCAAAAACATTCTCTCAAGCCATTTTTAACATGTCCTAAAATCAAAAACTTTATTCAAGCATGTCATATCAATGCTACACAGAGGTGGTATTCAGCAAGTTCTGACCAGTTCTGGAGAACCGGGAGTGAAAATTTTGAGTAGTTCAGAGAACTAGCAAATACCTGACTGGAGATTTTACAGTATCCTTCCCCTGCCACACCCACCAAGCCACGCCCACAGAACCGGTAGTAAAAAAAATTGAATCCGACCACTGATGCTACAGTACTTGTAACTTGACTCATTTTATATATCAGTAGAAGTCATAGGAAGTTCTGATTTAGTAGCAAAAATATGTACAAATTCAGAAAACCTAAGATGGCCAATATTTTTCATACAAGTTTCCTATGTTTGTTTTGTCAATTTCTTTTATATCTAGAGATTCAGTTTTGCTAATTTAAAAACAATTTGCATTTTTTCATAGATACCCTGCTGTTTCAAGAAGTTCACAAAATTTTCAAAAGTCTGGATTTCAGGTTACGGGCAAGAAGTTCTGCAGCAAATTCTGTTTTTCTAGGGATTGTTTGAGAGAACCAGACTTATGGAATTGCTAAGAATTCTCCTGCTAGACAGTATGTCAGTTCACTCTGGATGGTAGTAGCCTATTATAACCATAAACCTCATTTACTGGAAAATTCTTGGAAGAAAGCCTGCTGGAGAGATGTCTACGGAGATTCTCAATAATCCAGGTCATTGTTGCCTCAAATGTTTCTCCAAAAGGCAATTGGACTTTCTTGATTTTTTTCCTTTAAAAATATTCGCTCCTCATCCAAATGAGAAGTGAATCATTAAAAAAAAAAACAAGAAAGTCCAGTTACCTTTTGGAAAAGCACTTTTGGGACTTTGCTGGAGAGGTTTAAATTAAATTAATTTACCCAGTTTAAGATTGTCACTTTGGGCTATTAACTGTCTCTCAAATCAATGCACCAGAAGATTGTTGGGGTGATAGGAAATGTTGAGAGGGGAGTGCTATGAATGACATCTTGAATTCTTGGAGAAGATGGATTTTAAAATTAATAAAAAGAGTCATTGGAAGCTTGGTCAGATGTAGTTATTCTGCCTGTTCTGAGTGAAGATATTGATACTATGAAAATACTGTTGTCCATTTGAAGATACAAGGGGAGACTTTGAGTACTCCATAATTTGGTAATCCTAGAGAATTAATTCTATTGCCCTTGATGTCTCACTGAACTGGCTGGATTAGGCTTGCAAAACATTCAGATTGCATTAGAGCAAAATAAATGGACTTGATTTATACAGGTCACAAAATTCAGCTTTTGATAAGCTTAGAAATCTAAATTTGCTTTCCTTAGCGCATGTTTGCATTATTGACTATAACCTTAATGAATGATAATTCTATTACATGCATTGCTACTTATATGGTTTAATCTCTGATGTAATGTGTTTTTATTTTTATTTACAGGGGTGTACTATAGCTTTGAAATCTGCTTCCAGGTAAATGGCTAGTAGCAATAGCAATCCAAAGACGCCGTGTTAAAAAAAGTACTGTATCTTGTTTTGCTTTAAATTTTATCCAGCAGCTTTTAAATCAGTCCACTTATCATATCTGTTACATTTTCTTCCTCCCCATCTCCTTCAAAGCTTTGCCTGCTGCTGTTCTACTTGGAAATATGAGCTCTCAGCCCGGCGGGACGCGCGCTGAGAGAAAAATGGGCGGGAACGCCGCGTTGCTTCTGTTCGCTTCGCAACCTCGAAACGCTCAAGGGCCAGCCGCGGGTCCAGCGCGCCGATCCAAGAACGGCAACTGCGTCTTCCGAAATACGCTGAAGCGCAGCTATTTCGTAAGCGTTGGATTTGGATGAGGAAAGCGGCAAAAGAAAGCGAGGAGGAGCCGAAGCCGCGGGGTTAAGCTCATGTGACCGCTGGCGGCACAGGGCTGGGGCTTCTGAGAAGTAGCCGTAACTGCTGCCGCTTTTGCCCGTTTTTGGAACTGGGTAACAAGCGAGAGGCCGAAGGATTCGCTCCTCTGAAGGATGCGAAGCTGCCTCGCTCCAAACAGATGATGGCGATACGAGAGCTGAAAGTCTGTCTGCTTGGAGTGAGTAGCGACCGAAAGAAAGAAAAATACGAGGGGAGGGGGGAATCTGGGAAGGAGACTCTGAATTCTGGGTAGCAAGTGAAGATTTTAAGCAAACAGACGTCCCGCACAAACGACCGACAGAGAGCGCGAGCCGAGCGGAGGAAGGACGGGTGCTGGAAAGCAGCTTGGCAAGCCCGCGTTTTACAGAACAGTTTTCTTTGTCTTTCTTTTGGCCCATTCTAGTTCGGATGCTGACTGGCTTTCCGCTCACTTTACTTTTTCGATTTGCTTGCTGGGAATTTTGGCAGCTCAGGCAGTTAGACTAAATAAGGATTAAGCAGGCAAACTTTCCTCCTCCTTGTCCGAGATTTGTTCTGGTTACGTTCTACTTTGCCTGTGTTTCTTTTACCTGATGGCAAACGTTTACAGCTATTCTGGGGTTTTCATTCCCGTAGAGAGATGATGGAGCCCCATTGAATCTTTAAAGATGCAGTGCGCACGCAATGTTGGATGCTGCTTTATAGCAAATTAAATTAAAAAAAATAAGGAAACTGTTGTTCATGTGGCAAGCTGATCATGTGGAGTAATTTTTCTTTTAACTGTTTTAACCAATTATTAAGAGTAAGGTAACTGCACTCCACACTTGCATTATGATCAGTTTCACAGATAGGTGTAATTTTTGTAGAGATGTTTTCTTGTTTGGAAATATCCATTGAGGAGTATTCTTTTCAACCGTTAAAATATAGAAATCTCGTTCTCCTTTCCTCTGCTGTCTTCCACAAGTTGTGTTGTGTTTTATCCTAAATATGGCGTTTTTGTGGTTTGTATTTAGTATAGAACATTTTGAGGTCATGAAAGAGATTGCTACACACTTGCCTTTCCTCACTGATTTTGGCTGTAAGTGAACAGAAATTGCTTCAGTGCAAAAAGCAGTTCACCATGAGATGCAACTCAGCAAAAACTTTAATTCTGTGGCTAACCATATCCTCTTTTTAGAATAATTCTCTGCAGTGTTATGGTGAATCCCTTCCAGCTGATCATTTACAGGCCCACATAGACCAGTGTCAGGGAATTCTTACTTTGTTTTCCACCTCTATTTTGTACAGTCATGGTGATTTAATAGTTTACACTATATTTCGCTCCCATTACTAAGAAAAAACAGTACAGCATTAAAACAGCATTCCATTTTCAGAAGTTACAGAAACCGCCACAAAAATACTTCTCTAGAGTACTCTTATATTTACACAGCCAGATATTTTGTTCAGACTGAAGTTAACTTAGTTTCTGCTTTGTGGATTTTCCTATTTCTTCTTTCTTCCCACCTAAGGCAGGAAAATAAATACCAATTGTTTTATCTTTGATGGGCTTGTTTTTGAAATACAAAGAAATTCATGGCAGACTCCCCAGCAGATCAATATAAAATTACTGTTGAAGACATAGTAGGGACGAACGAAATCGGTTGCCTGCTAGAACACACACTAGCCTATTAATGTGTAGGCATTTTTATTTATGTATAAACTAGATTGAGGCACCAGTTACATGTATGTATCAGGATTACCACTCATTTTTTTGTATAGGCATAGATTCATAGACTTGGAATTGAAATTTTGACTATGGAGATCTATTCCCCTCTCTGGGTAGGAGTCAAAATGAAACATCACAGCAGTTGACTTCCTTGCATCTTTGTCTACATTTAGGGAAGAAGATCCTTGCTATTTGGAGTCACTGTTGCTCTGCATTTAATAGCAATAGCACTTAGACTTATAAACAGCTTCACTGGGCTTAACAGACCCCCCTAAGCCGTTTACAGAGTCAGCATATTGCCCCCAACAATCTGTGTCCTCATTTTACCAACCTCGGAAGGATGGAAGGCTGAGTCAACCTTGAGCTGGTGAGATTCTAACTGCCAGACTCGTGGCAGCTGGCAGTCAGGAGAAGTAGTCTGCAGTACTGCATTCTAACTACTGCACCACCACTGCATATATATAACTGTCTACGCAAAATTCTTTTATATGAATAAGTATTACTATATGCCAGGCTGTGAGAATCGGGTAGAGGAATTCTTTTGGTATGAGACAGGCAGACAAAATATGGGTGCTTTAAAAGGAAGTATTTTAATTGACTTGGTACTTGGGACTTTTATTATTTCCAAGTTTGTATTTTTTTATATTTGTGTGTGTCTTGCTCCTTGGGTTTGTTACCTATATGTAGCTTAATAGGTCCATGACTTTTGATCTTTCTTCATGGAACTAGTTTTCAGTCCTTGATGCTAGTTTTTTATCCTTCATGCTTAATTTATAATCAACTTCTAATATATTTTTCAAAGTAATTTTCCCCCTGATCTATACCCAGTATTTTGATTCCTGTAACATTTGTTTCTGTTAAATTTCATTGTGTTTTTCTGCCAATTTTATCTAATCTGTCAACATTGGTTTCATTTTATTTGTTTATTATTTGCTATCTTATGCACTTTGCGTCAACTACAGATTTAATAAACACATTCCCCACATCTTCATTCAAGTAATTCATTTAAAAGTTAAAGAAATTAGTGTTTAGGATTTGACTTCATAGCACTCCACTCAATGCCTTCTTCCAATCAGATAAGGAACTATTGATGAGTGTTTTTTCAGTTCAGTTTTTAAGTCAAATATGTAGCATTAAATTTTTAACTATTCACCCTGAATTTGTCACATCTTTTTCTGGAATCAAGGTATATTACAAGTAAAGAATTTCCACAATCTGTTAAGGAAGTTTCTTGATCAAAGAAAATGAGACAAGGTTTGCCTGTCAAAAATAGTTTTACAATAGATAAATCAGTGTTGAGTTCTGTAATCACTTTATTGTCCTCAAGATGCTTATAGATAATATGCTTTATAATCTGGAAGCTTTCTAGATATTGATGTTAATCTGACTGTTTATAGTTTTTATTTTACTAGATTTTGAGTATAATGGCATTGTACACAACTGATACAACAACATGTGACAATAGTTGTAGAGAGACAACAACACTTTCCCCTCTGTAATCAACACAAGTGTTTTTTCTAATATATTGAAATATGCATTTGCTTGGCATGGTGATCTGCCTCATTTCTCCAGACTAATGGAAAATCTGTACCCAGCTTCATTAATTTGTGATGAATTTTCATTCCACATCACTTTATTTTTTTATATTGATTATTTAAACCACACGCCTAACAGTGTGTAGAGGAAAACAGTTCCCCATAATTCCCCATACATTCTATTTAAATACTAAGACGTGTATGTATCTGTAAAATATTATCTTCTATAAAAATACTAATGGAATGCTGAACATTCCAACATTTTCACTGTAAAAGTTGTATTTCATAAAAAAAAACAAGGATAGTTTGTTCAGTAGTTTTATTTAGAAACATAGCCTATTTAGATCTTCCTTAAGCAAAATGAAATTTATTAAATCAATATATACTTCAGTTTTACTGAACGTATTACATATTAATCTACATAGAATTGTGACTTTAGTATTTTAACTACTAATAGTAAAGTTAGATGTGCAGGTATTTTTTTAACACTGAGAAACGACAGGATGATAAGCTTATACAACTTTTGCTTGGAGTAGCAACTACTGGGTACACATTTTTAAAAATTTAAATAAAATTTAGGAAAACACACTTTAATCATAGTATATTGATATTACATTTCATGAAGGCAGTCACTTATTATAGAAGTACTAACATCTTTATAAACTAGACCAGCGGTCACCAACCGGTGGGCCGCGGCCCACTGGTGGGCCATGAGAAAATATTGGTGGGCTGCAGAGAAATCTCACCCCCAGAGAACCCCCACAAAGCAATTAATCCAGGCTGCGGAGAAACACAAGGCTGCGCCGCCCACATAGCCTGTGGGAACCCTCCCCGCCCACTCCTTACCCGGCAAACTTGCTTGCTAAATTGCTATTTTTCCTTTTTCTGACCATCAGCTGTTCTGCTGTGCCGGGAGATTTAGATTAGCTAGGAAGCAGGAAATGGTTGGATTTCTTGCTTTCTAGCTAGTCTTTAGATCTTCGGCTCAGCACAGCCAAACCTCCCTTAGGACTGAAGGTTTGCTTGCAAGCAAATTTAGTGCAGACTCACGGCAAGCAAATTTGAGGGACTGAGCTAGCCGATGGCAGATAGATAGATCACTGAATGATTCTGTGAGCAACTCAATCTGCCTGCTTTGCCTGATTTTGGGTAAAAGTTGCTCTTTTTTAAAATAAAAAATAAAATATTTACATGTATGGTGTGTTGTGAGTTAATTTTGTGAGTTTGCTTGCAAGCAAATTGTATGTGACAGACTGAGCTAGCCAATGGCAGATAGATAGATCTCTGAATGAATCTGTGATTCTGTGAGCAACTCAATCTGCCTGCTTTGCCTGATTTTGGGTAAAAGTTGCTCTTTTTTAATAAAAAATTCAATATTTATATAAATATTTATAATATTTACATACAAGCCATGCCCAGCCAGTCACATGATGACCAAGCCACACCCACAAATTAGGCCATGCCCACAGAACAGGTTAGTGGTCCCTGGGATCTAAAATTATGAGTTTGGTGGTCCCTGAGGTCCAAAAGGTTGGTGACCCCTGAACTAGACCATGTTTTTAGGAACAACTGTTAGAACTGAGTTGTTGAGGGCTCCTAATAATAAAGCAATAAAGTACAGTATATATTTTTGCAGCTAATGCAATATAAATGTTTTTACTGGCCAATTATTTTTACTGCAGCTGTGATTATGAGAATTTATATGGCCACTCGTTCACTTTCAGTGACTTCTGGGTGGCTTACAAAAAATAAAAAACCAATACACAAATAGGAAAAACAATAACCCTTCTCCCCCACCTCTTTTGGTCATAAGTTGACCATTTTTACCAGAATCATAAAGCACAACACAATCATTAAACCGATCCCATGGTTCTTAAGTGAATCCAGCATATCCAATGGACACCGCAACTGATCATAAATGCAAGCCAATTGCCTGGTGCCCAAAATGCAATCAGATGATCCACGGGGGTATGTAGCACTCATGACTTCAAAAACAGGTCATGAGTAGCTTTTTTAAAAATCTGACCAAACTTTGAAAGGTTAAGTGAGGATTTCCTATACATCCAAGAAATCAGAAGGGTGTCAGTGGGAAGCCATCCATTAATTGCTTATTGCTTGAACAATAATACAAGTACCTTAGTTTAAAAAAAAAGTTGACTGGCTTGATGTACATGGTTCCAAAAAAAAACATGGAAAACTTTTGAACGTCAAACCATTTAATAAGTTTATCAGACATTAGAAGTTCAAATGGAAATAGACTGGTTCGCAGAATATTTATTGGAGAATCTTTGCTCAAATAATGGCAGAGATGACTAGAACATTTTGTGCAGAAAATTTTCAGAGTTTGGCAGTTGTATGATACTTTACTGCTTTATTGCCTATTGCTCAATATTGTTTCAAATATTATAATAAAAATATTTTTCTCTACATAAAGCTTTTGTTTTTCTGAATGTACTGTTCAAACTGCATAAAATAGTTTAAATATACTTTTCTTTGCATCAAATAATATAATCCAAATACTTTTGCGGACTGTAGATTCTGAGATGAATATACTAATTGAAATCATTAGGAAATTAATGCATAGTAGGCAATAAGAAAATATTTCAATTTAAAATATGCTGACAATCTATCATATAAAGCATAGTCAGGGAGCTATGACCCCTTTTTATGACTTGTAGATTTCAACCAGGAGTGGGATGCTACTGATTCTGCCTGGCTCTATAGAACCGGTAGCTCTGAAGAGCAGCAGACACTGAACCGGTTCTGTGTTTGCTGCTGTTTAGCCCACTCACCCACCTGGATTCTTACTTGTCTTTTATTTCCTGCTTTTTCAATCTCAGCTGCTTTGCGCGGCATAGCTGAGGTTGAAAAAGCAGGAAAAAAGAGGCTTTTCAAATGCTGCGAACCCGTGTGCAGCGCTTTTCAGCTGTCCAGGTGGCACAGCTTAAGGTTTTTTACGTGTGCGTGCAGCAAAACATAGTCATCGAACTGGTGGTAACACTGGTTGAATCTCACCCCTGACTTCAACTCCCAAAATTGGAATTCTGGGAATTGAAGTTCCCAAGTCGTAAAGAGGTTCCCCACATCTGCAAAACTAATTTTAAGTCATTTGTCCTCTTCCCTTTATCCCCAAGGATAACTTTCAGTAAGAATTTTCTACATTGTTTAAGAAAGATCATGAATAGCACTCATTTAACTTTTATTTCCAATAACTGTTCTAGAATGATCCTTGAATGCAACAAAAATATAGTTAGTTGCAGTTATTGACAGCTGTGTTCAGACATTTTCTCAAAGGAGCACTTGGAAATGTGGTTAAAAGCATGGAAAAAATTGTAGAATTGTTGATATCCAATCAGCTGATAATGATTAAATGCTATTTTGGAATGGCAATAAGAGGAAATGTAATTCCTCATTTATTTATTTATTGGCTCTTCTTTACCATTTTACATAGATAACCTGTTTCCTTAAAACTTTACATATGTAGCTCCATGAATGCCACATATTTGAGTAGCTGAAGGAACCAAGATAGTATACAATATGCCATAGAGTGAGTATTTCACTTTAGAAATGAGCATAAAGCCATGGTTCAAGATAACATGGCTTTAATTTTAAGGAATTGAATAGATTATTAGCAATGGAATAAAATAAATTTTTGCCTATTCCACACAGACCTTTTTAAATTTTATCCAGCCTATCTTCCAACCATTTTAACCATTTTCCTAGAGTCAGACAAGTACATCTACAGTAGTTCCAATTAATACATGAATAGAGCATGCAGGATGCATTGGAATGGACCCACAAAATCTTAAAATAAATTATGTACAGATCATTTCAACAGCTTATAAGATATCAATAGAATACATTGAATTTGGTAATATTTTGCCAGAATTATTGTTTAGAATCTGTTCAGTTAATTGTCTGTATGCACATGTATGTACCTTTGAATCAATCTTGATTCCTGCGAACAACCTGAACTAGCCCCTGCAGTTTTCTTGGAAATATTGTTTGAAAGTGGTTTGCCATTCCTTACTTTACTTTATTCTCATTGCACCTCGTACAATGAAATCAAACACCATCTTCAGTGCACATCATGACCATGACCATGACAATAAACATGAACACACATCCTTCACACATTGAACCGGAAATCCCTGACATCACACCAGCACTGCACTATACAGCAGAATTCAAAAGAGCTACTGCCCTGGATAGAAGCTGTTTTTCAGCCTATTTGTCCTTGTTTTTATTATTCTGTACCGTCTGCCAGATGGTAATAGTTCAAAAAAAAGGCTTCCCAGGATGAGATGGATCTTTGAGAATGTTTTGAACTTTCTTAAGGCAGCGGGAGCTATAAAGTTCTTTCATGGAGAGGAGAGGGCAACCAATGATCTTCTGGGCAATGACATTAACCCTCTGGAGTGCTTTCCTATCTGCCACTGTGCAATTGGCAAACCATACAGAGGTGCAGTATGTTAAAATGCTCTCTATGAAAATTTTATGAAAATTTCAGCTATTGCTTTGGGAGTTCCTCTATTATTGAAGAAGCTAATGATGCAGCGTTTCCATATTCTAATATCCTTCAGCCATTTACTTACAAAGGACAGTACAGCCTCTTAAGTAAATATACCTAAGCCAGTGGCCCCCAACCTTTTGAACACCAGGAACTGCTTCCATAGGAGAGGGGTTTTGCTTGTTTATGCAGCCTGGTTTCTGGCATGCTGCAGCCCAGTGGACTGGATCCATGGAGGTTTCTTCATTTAAAACAGATGAGCATTCAGGACAATCTTGGACTGATTCTTCCTTTCTTAAATTTTAGGATACTGGAGTTGGCAAATCAAGTATAGTTTGTCGATTTGTTCAAGATCATTTTGACCACAATATTAGCGTTACTGTTGGGTAAGTACCATGCACAGTTAAGCTAAATAAACACTGATGAATTCCTTCTTAATTTAAAGTAGGGAAAGTTCATTATTCAAGATAGCTGTATATGTATTACAGATTCCATCCCTATTTTAACATGGAATATTATTGAGTGAACATTTTACCACCTTCTGCTATTAATGCCAACTGCAAAGTATTTATATTTCTCTGCAATTTTTTGTTGAGCACCTATAACTTCCACAACACTATCCAGATCAAACAATGTAGGCCTATTATGGGTTAGGGATTATATATTTTTAAGGGTAAAGATGAGAGAAATATTCTTCTATTCCCATTCCCACTCTTAAAATTCTGAAAAGTGGACAGAAGGGTTGGTCTTGCCTATTACAATTACACTTATTTGTTAGATGTTTTTATCCTGAGATTTTTTTTTATAAATATAAAAATATTATTTTAAAAAAGTGGTTATACCTAATATTCCTTCCTTGTCCTATTTTCCCACAACAACAACCTTGTAAGGTGAGTTGGGCTGAAAGTCACCCAGATGCCTTTCATGCCTAAGGTAGGATTAGAACTCACAGTTTCTAATCTGGTGTTTTAACCACTACATCAAATTGGCTGTTTGTGCCATAAGATGATTTCTTATGGCTCTCCAGAAGGTTTGGATGTACAGTAGTTATGATTTTTTTTCTATAAATCATTGACTACTCTGATTTAAACCCATGTTTTTGAAAAATGCTTTTCATTTAAAATTTATTTATTTATACTTTACATTTTTAATGCTGACCGGTTCAACAGTGAATCTAGGTAACTCAGTTTCACTGTCCCTGAAACAAACAGTGGGAAGGGAACAAATATACCCTGTATCAAATGGATGTACCAGAGCTTAGAGTAAATATTGAGTTCACAGAAATTTGTTTTTATTATTGCAGAAGCAAAAACAATGAAAGAGAGGCAGTCTCTCAAATAATCAGGCCCTATGCCATGAAGAACTGTACAGATGATAATCAGCACCTTGGATTGCATCCAGAAATTCATTGATAATCAGTGCTGCTCACATTGCACAGGTGTTACATCAGTGTTTTGAGGCAGGCCCATGACAGTTTGTGTCATTGAATTCTGGACCAGTTGTAGCTTCTAAGTGGGCTTCTATGCCCAAGTGACTAGGCATTAATGAATGTGAGAAAGAAATTACCAGTGAAGAGAAATGGGCACTTGGCACATTAGGTCAATATTTGCAAAGGATTTCCTGGCCACAGTCTCATCTATTCTTTGAGTAGGATCTGTAAGTTCAGAAGGACTCCCAAATCACAAACCACTTTTGTATGGAAAGTACAACTTTACTCAAAACTAAAGATAGAAACATCTGGTACTGGAAAAATCATGAAGCTATAGTTAACTTATACTTCTCAGGATTGAATTAAGCCAGTTCCTTCCCATCCAGACATTAGCAGCCTCCAGATTCTGTGACAAGACTCAACAGCGGCACCTGGTCAACCAGGAGTTGAAATATACAGCTGAGTACCAGTATCATCAACCTACTAATGATGTATGCATAGTTAGTTACCTCTTCAGTGTTAAACAGTAAGGATAAGAATGTTGAATCTTAGATATCCACAGCTAGATGCTTTGGGCTTGATCTCTGCTCCAATTACTGATAATTGGAAGCACCCAAGGGAAAGTAATTGTTCCAGAAATATATCATGATCAATGGTACTTGAAAATTAAAGAGAACCAGAATGGTCATTCACCCCCATCCTAGCTCTATCATATCATACTGCTTGTGCCCTGACTAAAATAGATAATCATTATTAGTATTATTTTTTGAAGCTTCAGCCTGACTACTTTCTCAGCAATTTTTCCCCCAAAGGGGAGGTTAGATGAAAATTATCCAGAATTACTTGTTTGGCAATAGTTCCTATGGTGAGGGATGTGGAAGAATTTAGTCCCAGTACTGAAAAGAAGGAATAATAAAGAAATGGGTTGCTCAGCTCTGGAAATGTAGAAGGCGTGAGAAACAGATTCAGAACAGTCTCATCTTGACTTTGTTTAAAAAAGGCATAGTGAAGGTTTTGGACATGCTTTCAGGATTCTGTTAATACATCCTATTCCTACAACAAAATAGCATTCCTGGAATCTCTTCGTGTCTGTTCCTTGACTTTGCATTTCCTGGTACATCACTCTTCTTTGTCATACAACCATACCAGATGGATACTAAGGCCTTGAAACAGATCCTTCTGAAAATCCCCAAGCTTCTGAAATACCATCAGGGTCTCACATTCCAGCTATGTCTGGGGGAATGAAAGAAGTTCAGGCTTCTTAGATTACTAATTTTTATTTTCTTTCAGACATAAAACATTCATAAACTCTTACATTTTTCTAATTCCTTCCAGTCTTAAAATCAACATTCAGCTACTGAATAGTGAATTATTGATTTGGGTTTTAGTAACTCATTTATTATTTTGTATAATTAATTGAGAAAGTGGGAAATAATTATTCAGATAATGATAATAATTTATGCAGGAAATCTTAAGAAACATTACCATGCAGGGAAAAAAGATTTTTTTTTTTTGTAATGAAATATAGCTCAGAATAAAGTTTCTTGTTTTACTTAATCTCTCATTATCTATTTGAATGCTATTGAAAATCAGATTATAATATTTAGGGCTGATTAGATGAAATTTCCTAGGTATGTTTCTGCTTCACTTAAAAGAACAATTTCATTTTGCAATTCATCACATTTTAACTGATTAGGATAGTGTAGTTTAAGTGGCTACTATGTCATTCATTGTCATTAATTCTTCTCGAATTTTACAAATGTGAATTCTTTCTAGAAAAGAAATAACATTTTCCTATTTGATTCCATATACATTGAATATGGTATGCATCATTATATTTAGCTTTTATATTGCCTGAAATATCTGCAAAATGTTTGCTATTTCTCAAAACATTAAGAAGAAATGCTTTGTTTTTTCCCTTGTGAAGATTACATTTCTAAAAATGTTGTTTTCTTAATTGGCAAATGCAGGCACCGTAATTTAATGTAAACTCTGCTTATGTGCAACTCTTCTTGTAAATTTTAGAGCTGCTTTTATGACTAAAACAGTCCCCTGTGGGAATGAACTTCATAAATTTCTGATCTGGGACACAGCAGGTCAGGAGAGGGTGAGTATGAGTCTTTTATCTAAAGACAGTATTTTTGATAAAGCGGGGGAACCAGCATCTGTAACATAGATACTGAAGGTAAGAAGGCATCGTATGTTTATATTGTTTTAAACCTCACAGTAATCTAAATTCTGTTTCAACAGAAACACTTGCATAATTAAACAAACAGAACACTAAATCATCAACAGATTGACATTTTCAGAATCACAATAATATGCAGCCAAGTTCTAGTTCCAGGCTTCTGGAAAGGGAAACATTTTGAACCATTACAATCTTCTAATTTCTGCTTTCTCAAGATCTTCTAGGCTTCATCTAATGGCCCAATCTCTGAACCATGTCTTTGTCTCTCCCTGTTTCTGACATAATATTCTTATGTTCCTACAATTGGCCTCATAGGAAAGGAGGTGAAGTAGTTACATCTGTAATACAAACTTGAATTTCCTTCCGTGCCGGTATCTTTAAAATCCGATGTACTTTCATCTATTTCAAACTGGTTCAGACTCTTCTGCTGTCTGTTGATGGGCTGAAGTGGGATCTGATGATTGGCCTCTTGCAATCAGCCAGCAATCTCATTGTGATGTGAAGGGGCAGCTTGCATTGCATCTCTTGCTACATTATGCTATTAATTCAACCTTTAATTCCTTTCCATTTGCCCTGTTGACAAAACTGCTCAGCTTATCAGTTGGCTTGACCATGCTGTCTGAAAGGTTTACAAGTTAGTTTAAGAGAGAGATTATATAACTAATTTAACAATGCTAATTTGTTTTTATGTGTTTGTTTAAATTGTTACAATATGATCAAGTTGGTACATTGCTCTGTACTTAATTAGTATCATGATTGAGATATGAACCATGAACTAATATTGCTAATATAGTTTTATTTGACAATGGCAAGTAAAGTTCTTAGTTCACTTAATGACATCTTGTTTGCTAAGACTTCTATTACAGTTTCTTGAGCACAATATGCTTTTTTTTTTTTGTAAATTTTATTTGAGTTTTCACAGAGAGATAAAAAATACAAATAAAACATCTTTTTTGAAAGTAGTGTAATCCCGGGTTACATTTCTTCGTACAGATACAAATTCAGGTTCATGCTCATTTTTATATTCTATTCCATATCTTATTACTATTTTACATTTTCTGCATAGCTTCTCCCCTCTTTTAATTTTCTCAATTTTATTTTAATTATCTCATCTCAATTCAAATCATTGTATTTATATTTTTTGTCTGTCCTGTTTCAATTATCTATTATCTTTTCTCATTAAACAAAATTTCTCCTGTAGTTACTGATTGGAGTATGACGCCTTTATATCTTTCCCCTAAAGTTGTAACATTCAATATAATACATAACTTCCATTCAGATTCTGCTTGGTACATTCTTAAAATACATACTGTATTCTTAAAAAAAGAAAAAATTATAAATGTATATAATTAAAACAACATTCCATTCCAATTCAATTCTATCATTAATATTAATATTCATTAAAGTCTTCATATCTTTAACGTTACTTTTCAATTAAATATCATACTTCTATGGGAACAATTATAAGCTTTCCGTAGTTAATTCCCCACCCCTCTTCACTTATATTTTATAAAACATTAACTAATTAAAATGTTCCCATTCCTTCCTAATTCAATTTTCTCATTTATTTTATTTCACTTATTTTATTCACAAACATTTCACTAAATTACACTATTTTATCCCTCATTTTAATCATACGTTGTTTCCAATTTTCTAAAGTTATTTCTATTACTAATATAATAATACAATCTTATGTACCTTTACAGAATCCCTTTTTCAGTTAGATTTTCATCCATTATCTCTAAATAGGTCCTGTTTCTCTATATCTTGCTCCGGTCCTTTGTAACTTCTTTTCCTTTCCTTCTTCCCTCTCCTCTTCTCTCTCCCCTTTTTACCCCCTTGTCTCTCTACCTCTATCTCTTCTGTATTCCCCTTTTCTGTTGCTTTCCAGTATTATACTTATTTTTCGAATTATTTTTGTTTTCTTTGGTTGTTTTTTTAAGTCTTAAATTCTCCATTCTCTTTCCCCCCTTTCCTTTTTCTTCCCCACATAAAATTGCTTGTTCATTAAAGATGGCTTCTCCTTTGTCCCAGTCTTCTTGTTTTGCAGTCTTTTCTTGTTGTTTCTCATAGTTCCAAATCTCTATTTCTAAGAATTGAAAAACGAAGCCAAAAGAACCCTTCCCTTCTTGTGCAACTTCTCTGTACTTTTTAAGTTCCATTTTCAATTCATCCAGAAGTGGTGCCATTGTATAAATGTTTAAACAACCACCCGATTGATTTTAGTCATTCAAATATAATAACCAAAAATCCAAATACACGCAAGCTGTTTCTTTTTTGCTCTTTTTTTTCACTTTCTCTTCCTGGGGTTACTATTTAGTTGCAAAGTTTCAGTTAAAATGTATCTTTTAGAGGTCTTGTTGAAGTTTTACTGTAGATTCTTTTTAATTCCAGGCAGTCTCCTCCCTCTTCCGGATCCTGCCCTTATTCTTTTTCTCTCCCTTCCTGCTTATGAAAAAGAAAATTTTTAATGTCCAGAAATCTTTATTATCCCTTTGGCATTTTGTTTTATTTTCAGCTTAATTGCCTATTGATGTCAAAGTGGATTTTTCCGATTTCTTATTTAAGTCTCTTAGTATAGGGAAGGAGAGAGAAGGAAAAAAAAAAGGCAAACCTTTCCCTTTTCCCTTTCCTTCGCTGCTTCCGACTCTGTTATTTTTTGTAAGTTTACAATGTTATTTTTTGTAAGTTTAAATTCCAGGGTACCTTAGTGGTTGCTTTTACAATTTAACCCGGTCAGCCAAAACTTTCACTTCTTATCTTCCTCCTGCACATTCTTTTCCGGTTGAGTTCTTCTTTGTGGTGGCCATTTCTGACCACCACTGCAACCGCCTTCGGGAAAGGGAGTAATGGCCAGCCGAGGAGGAGAGATGCGTCTCTCCTCAACCCTGCTGGCGGTCTCCCCCCTCTTCACCACCTCTACGGGGTGGCTTAGCCCTGAAACCAGCCGGCTCGGGGTGCTCCAGCGATGAGCCCAGACCGAAACCGTGCACAATCGCGGATTTCTGTCTGTCGCCGAAGCCCTTCAAACCCAGCACAATATGCTATTATTGATTTCTACCAGTAGCTTATTGTTGCTCCATCTAATTATTATACTTTGCAAAAAATATGAGATTTCCTGATCTTGGGGGGGAAAGAAAATATTTATCTTTTCTTCCATATAGCAAACTATATGAAAGAGAAAGCAAACAAGAAAATTTATAGAGGCCTGAGATTTTTTTTAAAAAAAAGTTATATTAAAGAATGTCAACTTAGTAGAATAATCATTGTTTAAAAGTATTTTCTGAAAGTCATACAAAGAGTGTTTTTTTTGTTTCAGTTGATTAAATTCAAAATGCCTTGCTTGTATTGTGAAAAATAAACACTCTTTTATAAGTTGCTATGTGTGTGTAGGAATGGCAGAATCTGGAGGCGGTGTTAAAAGAGGGATCAGCCTAGAATTTCTACCTAACCACAGCTGAACTAAGTCGAAACTCTCTTGAATTCCATTGACCTTTATCTAACTCCAAGCAGGTGCTAACTATTAGTTGAGAAGATTTATGTGCATAAACATGAGTTCCAATAAATCAATTTAATTGGACCTTCACCTGTAGACCTGATCTTTCATTCCAGTATGTATCTCAGTAGTGTGTGTGTGTAAGAAGGGGGGGGGGGGAGGAAGGGGGGGGGGGGGGAGAAAGGGGGGGGGAATGAGAATATGAATGGCCAGATGTTTCTCTCTGATGTTTTCTTGGATCCTTGATTATTTAGCAAGCTCTATGGCTTGAAAAATAATCTGTGCTTCCTTGAAATGTGGTTTTACTCTGGCAAGTCTAACATGAATTACACTCTCCCTAGAACAGCTACTCTAAAAATGATGGTGGGTCTTAAATTAGGGCCAGGAGATATTGATTGTAACCAGGAACAAGTAATCTTAAAACTACTAGGTTGAGGGATACACATTCAGGTGCATCTATTCTTTATCTCTTTCATTCCTTTTCTGTCTTTTTATTTGAATACACATCATCCATCTTGAAAAGATTTGTTTGAAGGAAGGGAAAGTAAGAAGAGTTCTCTTTTTTTCTCAGGGTTAATCACAGGCCAAGATAGCTGTGTGCATATGTAGAACTAAAAATGTGATGCTACTACTTTAGGAGGTATATTGACTACCAATGTTATCATTTTTAAAAAGCTGAATGGGCATAGTTTAAATAGTTTCAGCTCTGGGTTGGATCTGTCTATCCTGCAAAAACTGGAAGAAAAACTTGTTAAGATCCCATCACTTGAGTGCCACCTATAGGAATCTACAGGCTGAGTCTTCTTCTCAATGGTAGATCCCTTCTTTGGAACACTTTGTTCCTGATGTTCTGTTAACCTCCTTATGCAGCTTCAGAAGAGTCTTGGAAATCACAGTTCAGGAGGATGACTTATCCCATTGTATAGGAGAAAGCATTCTAGGGTGCTATGATTTTATTTTAATGCTTTTTGTTACTTGATATAAACCACAGCTATTAGTTAAGTAAATATAGGAAAGAAGAGAGAGAGAGAGCAGATATATTAATTTAATGCTATCGTATTTTTTTGACTTACATAATACAATATATAACTTTTTGATTCTAGTTTTTGTTCCATGTTTCACAGTTTCATTCGCTGGCACCTATGTACTATCGTGGATCAGCGGCAGCTATTATAGTTTACGACATAACTAGCCAGGTGAGCTTACCGTTATCTCATTATTGACATTTATTAAAAAATCCAACTCAATTGTGTTTTTCTGTCAGCATCCTATTATGCTGGCTTAGAGAACAATCCAGCATAAAAGTTAGTAATTCATATTTTCATAAGATTTTTAGATATTATTAAATCAAGATAATTAAAACATAACATTATTTTCTTTTAATCTTTTAAACCAGGTTGGCAATCTTTTGAGATTGAGGGGTTTTAAAGATGACACTAAGTGTACTTTGGGACACTATTTTTTTTACATTATTTGTGCTGAATTTCAGCAGACAAGGGCTGTAGACAGATGTTTTTTGCCCATCACTCATATAAATACAGTGTGAACTTTGCTGTGTCGCTTCATAAAATAATCAAATTCATTTCAGGCAGGTTTAGGGGCCAGCTTCTCAATTTGGAATTTCACTTTGCGAATTTTGATCTTTGTGAGTTTCTCTGTTACTGAAAATGAACCCATAATTACAAAAAAAAATTGCTTGGTGGAATTATATGAAAGGTGCAACACAATTCTTTCTTTGTTTTTCATGCCTTGAGTAGTAAACAGTAAGGGTTTCTGTCTAGCTGCAGTCTATTTCATATTTGCCCAAAATGTCAATGTGTAATTGATCCTTTTTTTTTTTTTTGAGCTTCCCATGTCCAAGCTTCTTACATGTTCCCATTGCAATTTTGTCTTTTACACCTTTGAATCTCATTTTTCTGTATTGAAACATCAGCAATTTGATGTCTGGCAGTGTTTAATTTAACTGTGTCGTATACATACTCAAGTTTTCTTCAGAAGCATGTTGAGTGCCACCTGACCTGAGGGGCCTATTATCCATCACAACATTGACAGTCTCTTTATTCCTGTGGTTTTCTTGGTAAAGTATGAGTGGTTGTCTTCTCCCAGACGGTATGAACTGATGCTTTTGCCATTGTCATTGACATGATCATATGCCTGCATCACCTTCCTATATCAGCACTGCCCACTGCTTACCTTAATAGAAAGTAAGTAGTACTTGCTTACCTTAGTAGAACAACTTGGGTGATGTTTGTGCTTTGGATGCCTCTGCTAGAAGTATGCTTTGGATACATACTCCTGGCCTGCTTTGTTAACTGTCCAAAGAACACATACCAAACACACAACATGACCATGCTAAGGTAGCATAGCATAAGTGCAGTACATACATTTTGCACTGGGTGGATGTAGAAATGAGAAAATAATTCCAACACTTAATTTTGTTAGAAAACTTCTGCGTCTCCCTCAAGGCACTTTTGCTACTCATTTAAGAATAAGACAAGAAGGATTTAGTTAGAATAAATTAACAAAATCTTATCCTTCATATTACTGGAAAAGAAACAAATTCAAAAAACACTGAGGCGGTATGATAACTGACATAGCTAGTTTGGTGCAATATATGAAATGTTTAAATTGTATTATTTTAGGAAAAACAGATGAATTTTGCAGTACTTATCCATTCTCTGTGTATGAATTTATAACATATTTAACTTCATTGCAGTCATTAAACAGCACAGTAATTTAACTGTGTAAGCCATGCTTTTTGCATATTTCAAGCTTCATAAAAGAGTTGCTCTCTGTCTGCAGTGAAAGATAGCAAATATTACAATCCACATTGTCAGTTTTATGACATAAATGCTGGGCTTTGATATTTATTGATATATTTTCAGGCTCTGAAACGGAATGCATTAAAGATTTGCTATTGGATGTGATTGGTTATATTGGTTATATTGGTTATTGGTTATTGGCCATTTTTGCTTTGTATTGCAAACTTAAAAGGACCAGACAATCCACATTTTTGAATGTATACTGTTAGAATAGGTCTTACTGTAGTTATAAAATTTAATGTCACAATGTTTATTATAAATACTAATCTATATTTGTAATAATGTTTTTTGTATTTTTCTGTTATTCATTCCGCACTGTATCTTAAACTTGATTATTATTCTTTAATAAAGTTTGTTATAATCAGGTATAGCAACTAAAATCAATTCTGATTTTGATATACAGCAATACAAATTGAACTGCCTACTTTAAAATATGATAAGTTAGCCTTATTGTATTTGAGGTCTCTTTCTCATTCTGCTGAGTATACGAAGAATGTGTGTATGTGTGTGTGTGTATATATATAAATTGTGTGTGTGTGTGTGTGTGTATGTATTGTGTGTATGTATGTGTATTCCTATTAATCATTAGCATTGCTTTTTATTTATTTCCCATACTTTGCTTCCTTTTGCAAAATACTGAAAAATTGAATATGTATTTTTGATTTCCAGAACATTTTTGTGAAAGTTTTATCTAATTAAAAACTGGATTATATAGCTACAGTATATTGCCCTGATGTTCCTTTTGCAGATGTTAATTATTACTATGAACAAGCCTTTTATTAATAAGCATGTCTTGAAAACACAAGTGCTCTCTTTATTTGTTTCTCACATAGGTTTTCTCTCATATGTTTTCTGAATATATAGAGGGAGGAAGCATGTGATGTAGAAATTTTTCTATGAATATATATTGTTATATATGAGTCCCAGGGTATCTATGTACAACTTTGGTTGGTTGGCTATGGCATTATAGAAACATATCTCATTTTGCTTAGTATTCTAGATTGTTTGTACCATTATGGATTTTATACATTGTCTTCAAATATTATGCTTCAATTTAATAAGTTCATTTTGACTTATGTATTTAATTTAGGATTCATTCCCTATAATGAAGAAGTGGGTAAAAGAATTAAAAGAACGTGGTCCTGAAAACATTGTAATGGCTATCGTTGGAAACAAGTGTGACCTTTCTGATATTAGGTATATATTTTGATATATTTACTTTTTGCAGTTTTCCATTGCTTTTTCTACAGTATGACAAATTCAGAAATACATTTTATATTATTTTTAAAAATTAAAAATTAAACCAATGCAAATAATAACAAAAATGTTATTTATTGAAATTTATTTAATTTAAGAAATAAAGATGTCTACAGTTTCAAAATAATACTAGTAATATACTATTCCATCTTAAATATTTTTACTGTTCTAGCCTTGTCTACTTTTTTGTCCAAATTGTTTTATTTATTCACAACTCAATCCTCAAAACTGGGGTGCCTTTAACATAATATTTGTATTAACTCACTATTGTACCCTGCCTCTCTTTAAACCAATGTTTTTCAAACTTGGTAACTTTAAGACATGTGTTTAACTGCTAGAAGTCTTAAAGCTGCCAAATTTGAAAAACGTAGCTCTATACTATTAGAATTCTGTCTTGCTGGATGTTGTCACTTAGTCCAATGGCTATATGTTGCCCATGTACTATCCTTTCCCACCATCCCTTTCCCACAGCTAGAAAGGGCAACAGTTATGTTTCTTTTATTTGTCTCCAATCCATGTCAATGGCTTTCATAGTTTTCCTTGGCATTGCTGAGTAGAAACAAACTTGAGCTTTCCATCAAGCTCTTTCAACTACTACTCCAATAAAAACACAGAATTGCACTTCTACTACATGTAGCTTGAGTTTTCTCCTGGCAGGGGACCCAACATTAAGAGCCGCGGTGGCACAATGGTTAGGATGCAATATTGCAGGCTACTTCTGCTGACAGCCAGCTGCCTGCAATTTGGCAGATCGAATTTCACCCGGCTCAAGGTTGACTCAGCCTTCCATCTTTCTAAAATGGGTAAAATGAGGACCCAGATTGTTGGGGGGGGGGGGAACATGCTGACTCTAAACTGCTTAAAAAGGGCTGTAAAAACTTTGTGAAGCGGTATAGAAGTCTAAGTGCTATTGCTATTGCATATACCTTCATTATTACTGCAGAGAGTCCAATTCTGTCTGTGGGACTTGGAAGTTTGCATATTCTGTCTGTCAGACTCCCATGCAAAATTGTAGTGTCCCGTTTGTTTGCCTTGGTCACAATACACAAAAACTCTAGTCTAGATGTGGTCTCTATAAATGACTATAAATGTTTTTTTCTTTTTTGTATTTGTTAACTTTCTTCTGGGGGAACAACTTACTGTAAGTATCTAATCAATGATTAGTATCTAATCATTGAGACAGATTTGTTATTATGGAATATAAACTTTCTATTGGAACAAACTTTATTTTTGTTTTTAACAACAAATCATCTCCTTCACTAGAACCTTTTAAATCTATTGCTCATAATAGATTATACAAAAATCCAGAGAACTTAACTGATTTTTAAATGAATTTATTTTCTGCAAAAGACAAAGTTAAATAGTTGATTAACATATATACTATAAAACAACCAGTCCTGATACTTATTAATTATTTAATTCATTTGTATATAGGACTCTAGCTGGTCACAACAATTCACATACACACACACACACACACACCTCAAACACTCATGCTAAAATCACTATTAAAAATGCAAATGCAAAAAATAGTAAAAAGGTAAATATAATCAATAATTCAATTCATTATAACCACTGGAAATGGTTCCCACCTTTCAGTCAGTTACAGTACATATAGTTTTCCATACATTTTGAAAAGTGAGTAAATTTTAGGATAATTGGTAGACAATCTCTTAAATAAACCCCCCCAAAAATTAAAGGAGAAAATATTTTGTGTTAAAACATAAATTATATTATCGGGATTTATTGTGTGGATCCAGGTTTTAGGAATAAACATTTCCATATTTAATAATACATTTTACCTCATTTATGAATTATAGCTCAAAATGGTAATATGAATTTCCCCTAATTTTATACTCACACCAACAAACCTCTGTTGGACTAAGAGCAAGGGGCTAGCCCAGCGTTACTGGTTGAGCTGTGTAGTAGAAAAGATTGGTTTTTCTTCTCCTAGCCCCCTATCTTAACCATAATTACTGTATGAAGTCCTTTACTTCATAGTTGATCAGGATTTGACTTATATCTTACCTTAGTCAATATATTTAGAGAAACATTTAGAAATAATAACGAAAAGGAATTTAAAAAGTTATAACATGTTCTTAGATATTTGCTTTATAAAATTAAGAGTTGCAAGCCATGCTATTTGGTTACAAACTGTAATCAGGTGTTGGGAACAAAATCACATAGTTATAATTCTGGGTTGTTGTTTTCTTTGACAGAACCACATGATTTCTTGCCATTAGAAGTTCAGGCACAGTGAAGCCCTTTGTGTATTCATAAGTCATTAACATTTTTATTGCTTTAATTTTTTTAAAATTATGTCTATTAATCTAAGCCCAAAACAAGAATACTGAATTCTAAGGCTTTAAATAATCTTACTTTTGATGTTTGGGCAAAGGTTCCATTTCTCAAGTTTTGATTAGCTTGACTATATTTAGATTTGTAAAAAAAAAGAGGAAGAGCAGGAAAGACTTCTAACCAAACGTGAGAATGCAGAACCAGAAGCACCCTTCTGCAACTCTTATAAAGATACAAAATACTTCAGTGTTAATTTAACTTATAATAAACATTAACTTAGATAATTTCAATTTAGTGTTAGTTCCACATAGGGTAGATGGTTTCTTTCATTACCTTGGTTCTCATAATAATGGAACAGGTTAAAGCACTTAAAAGATAAAAGTTCAGAAAATAATTTTAATGAGAGACTGTAAAAGAGAAAGTTTATTGTAGTTTATTTTGATGGAGGAGATACTTAAAGTAGTATCAAAATGAATGTACAAAGCTAAAACTTAAAAAAAATTCCATAATTATGCACCAGGAAATATAATATTATATAGATGGAATGATATTAGACTTGAGACATCAGTAGTGTGGCAAATGATGTTTTGCTCCAGATTAAAATAAGAAAAATTATTATTTTTGCTAAGGTACCTATTTAAATTTATAAAAATCCAAACATTTTTATTGATTGATTGATTGATATACACATACGTACATACATATATACATACATATGACTGAACCAAGTACCAGTTGTATTCTTGTAGAAAATATAAAGGAAGTTGAAAAAATGTGATCTATAGATTATCTACGTGGTAGGTTGAACTTAAAAGAGCTTGATAAAAAGAAAAAGGAAAGTGTGAAACATAATCAAATATTAAAATTTCCAATAGTTTTTTGATTTATGTAAAACATAGAATTCTTAATTTCTCAAAATGAAATATTAAATTTTATTTAAGTGGATATTAAGATGGGTTTCATACATGGATCATTCTAGAACAGCATTTGCAGGCTTTGAAAACTTCCAATAAGGAATCTTACATATTCCTGTTTTGCAAAAATGCATTAGCATACAACAGAAATACATTATCTGATTTCTTTAACATGAATATCTATGGAACACTGCATATGGAAAATATTTGTAAAAAATTAAAACCTGAATTAAGTTATTTCAAACTGATTAAAGAAAAATAATTGAAAATAAAAGACTTTATTCAGTGATCAATTAATTGTATAAGTAGATTTGAATTTTTCTTTAAAATGTTCATTAAATTATTAACTGAACTCTCATTGAATTTTTTAATACATCTTAAAGAATGTTATTCTGATATAAGCCACTTATGGAACAAATGCATAATAAATAAATAAATAAATAGGCCCAACTGCTGGGGTGCCTAGGTGTTACAGTCACAATTTTATTTAAAAAGGTAGACAGATCCTAATGTGGTCAGAAAACACTCATGGATTTTGTGTTGTATTGCACTGTACAACCAAAGAATTTTGTTCATACAGCTTCTTTCCATCATCTGTAGATTTGGGGAGAACAAGAAGAAATTATATTTCTGATATGAGAAACAATAAATAAATATTTACTGTGCTCAAATTATGAAAAATAATATAGTTGAACTAAACGTTCTGTTGCACAACAACTTAATTTAAACTTATAAAACTTTATTTTAGGGAGGTACCTATGAAAGATGCCAAAGAATATGCAGAATCTATAGGTGCAATTTTTGTTGAGACTAGTGCCAAAAACGCAATTAACATTGAAGAACTCTTTCAAGCAATCAGTAAGTAAACTTAGAATTTGTTCTTGCATATTTAAGCTTGTACAACTCAAAAAGTTGTGTTATTTAGGTCACAGCTTTGCTAAAGCTCTAGTTTATTTCTCACAAAAGGACAATGAAAGAGATAATTGTTTCACAGAGAATCATATAGATATACTTCTAGAGAGGTATTATTCAAAATATTTCACCTCATACTAATTCAGAATAAATTATTTTTCTTCTGTTATAAATTCAGGAATTAATATTTTTAAGAATATTATAGCATATATCCTTAATTCCTGAAACTTTGGAGATGGGATGGGTATTCTACCTATCTCTATTTGTTTGAACCTATTTATCTCTGTAGAGCAATCATTTTAAACAATGAAGCTGGATTTGAAAATTACAAAGTCAAAACAAAAGTTCTGCTGACCATTTAAGCAGTAAAACAAGCAATAGAGTACTCAAAAGATGAGGGAGTAGGTCCCCAAACAAGCAAAGTACCTGAGCTTAAATTCAACCCATTTTTGGCAGTGGTTTCGAAGCCGAAAGCACCAGCCTGAAGATGGCGAGTGGGACCTCGTCGAAACATTGCCAGGATACTCTTAATCTTACGTGGGAAAAGACCCAATCATGCCAAGACCTGCGTATGTATGTATGTATGTATGTATGTATGCATGCATGCATGCATGCATGTATGTATCCTGCAATTGATTAGGTTCATAATGATTCACCTTCCATATCATATAGGAAATCCTATATTGTAGCTAGGAAACCCTATTTTCAAGCATTTAGAGAAGCTGTAAGATTTTAACAATTGTATATGGTATTGTTGTTTTTTTTTTGGTTTTTTGCTTTTAAACCGTTCTAGGCCAGCAGATTCCACCTTTCGAAACTCATGAAAATGACAACAGTAGAACAATCAAACTCAGGAAGGAGACAGCTCAGACAACACGAAGATGCTGTTAAACCAGAACTGGTTTGATGCACTTGAAAATAAAACAAGATCATTTATTTATTGAACGACGGACTTCAGAAAGCCAACAACATGGTGCACTCTCTAAAAACAGTAGTATCAGTATTTTTTATTGATGGGATTAGTAGGAGAAAAATATCTTTCTAATGAATTCTGCAGAATTCTCCAGACAATTAGTTTAAGCTGTAAACTGGTTGAAACAATGACTCAAATTATTTGGAATAATCTGTTTAAACTGTTGACTATTCTAAAGAAGCAATAACAATTTTTTTGCAAATCTTTTTTATATTTTCAGTATGTTTTCTCATTGTGTATAATTTTACAGAATTATAATGCACAGTATTATAATCAAATGAAGAAGGTTTTATTTTACTGGATTTGGCTTCTACTATTTTTAGAATTATTTTTAAAGGTATAAATGACATACTTAAACTTCTGCATCCCATGCAGATAAAATCTAGTGACAATAACAATTCTAATAAATGTTAAACTGTTACTTCTGTATTGGAAAAGCAAAATCATTGAAATGTAAACACTTTAAGTTAAACAGCAGCAGTGGTTTTGGGTATACTAAATATTGCAGAATGTTAAAGGCAAACAGACATTTCATCAAAAGCCAAAAAAGACCAGGATACATTTTCTATTGAATTCATTTAAATTTGAAATAATTTACAACAATCTGCAGTCTGAATACAAAAGTTCTATACTTGTATTTTTTCTTATTCTTTAGTTTAATATAGTTATCTGCATCTATATCTTTGATCTGTCTGTTTCTTACTTAGTAACAATACAGATGCAAGGTGGAGTCCAAGGAAGTTGAAAACAATACAACCTTTTTTTATCTGAGTCCTTTTTGTAATAGATTGAGTATTAAGCTGATATCATACCAAGCTGATACAAACAACAACAACCACCCACTGAAAGATCTCAGTACTGTCAGCCCTCTCAGATACACCAGACAGGAAACATGACTAGTTTCCAGACTGAGAAATTTCATCAATATATTGTCACACAATTTGGGGAGGACACTCTTGAGATTGGTGCGAGAGAAATCAGTGCATTCCGGTGACTTATTCAGACTGAGAAAGCTGCTTGGGTTATCAGCAAAACATCTCAAACCCACAAGGAAATAAGTCCAGTTGCCATGACTCGATTTCCAGATGATTAGATAAACTAATTCCACTTTATTGTAATGCTACATTAATAAAATCTTGTAAGACTGAAAGTACAGTGATACCTTGGTATTGTTAAATGGTATGGGGAGACATGACAAGTACTAAGAATGACGAGTGCCAAACAAACCACCTGACTTATGATACGACCCTTTGTTTTGGCCAGGAAGGACTTCCTGTCTCTCCCTTTTCCAATACCAGTGACCTTCCCAGCATGGCCAACTTCCTGTCTGCCTTCTGCAGCTGACCTCCTCTTCCTTTTGCAGTGACCTTCCCAGTTTGGCTAACTTCCTGTCCCTTCACCACAAACTGCCCCCCTTTAACGAAAGCAGTGTATCAGGTACCAACAAAGAATGAATACCGGGACAACATTTTTGTGTCAAAATGTGTTGTGTAGCAAATTTAACAAGTTTTGATGCCATAGCGCACCAAAGTATCACTGTACAAACTTCTCACCACCACGGTTAGTTCCCTGAGCCATTCAAGTGGGTTTTTCCTAAGTTTCCTTGTTAAGCACTGGGGGCTCCTGCCTTTCTTGTTGAATTGTTTCCTAAATAGCATATTTTCCCCAAGGTTATTCACACATTCCATTACAGTACTGATATATTTTATTTCATGCTTCCTTTGTTGTAAATTGCATATATGTTGAAGTTGCTACATGTGCAGTATAACTAATAAAGATTCCATCCTAAAAGTGTATAATAGTAAAAAGTGACAAATACAGAATTAGGAAATTCTATAGATTTTTTCATGCCTTAAACTTATACAGTGAAAGACTTTTAAGAGTCAATCCTGACTTGATGGTACATTAGTTCTGTATAGATAGTACATAATTAGTTCTGCATATCTACAGGGTAGAATCATAGAAGGAATATCAATAACTATTTAGTCTGACTACCTGCTTGAAATAGCATCTTTATATTGCTTGTTATTACAGAATTGCATGTTTAGATGTTATTTTGTAGAAGTTGTGGAGGCACAAAATATTTCTAAGTAGAAATAAGAGAGGACACTAATTTTTGCCATCTGTAGGATGCTCATGTTGAATCACATTTTTCAACATAATATGTTTCAGGGTGGCTACAGAAAAAAAGTCCTTGAAAACTCCTTTTGAACGAATAGAACAGAATAGATGTTCTGTGAAGAAGCTTTGATGCTCATTCTTCTATTATACAATACAGACCTTTAGCTAAACCCCTATTATTTTGACAGTAAAAACAGTCAAATTAGAATAATTACCTAATATAGCCTAAAAAAAGTTGTGATTATCTTTTTTTGAGAATAATTAGTGAATAACTTTTGGGGTTGAAATTTTCTGCCAAAATTTATATCCAATTTTGCTAAGAAGATTGGCATAAGAATGAACAGTATAATTTTTAGTGGAAGAGTATTAGAAAAATAGTATATTAAATCTTTTAGGGGTTCTTTGCAAAGGTTCGGCCAAATATTTACTTCTGTACACAGCACAGCGACTTATAAGAAAAGAAAGTAAATATTTGAGAATCAAGTTCATACATAAAAGTTAAAATGGAAAGAAAACAAAGCCTAGCATCATTATTTTACAGTGGCAACTTAAGGAGCTGTGCAATTCAGTGAATAAATAACAAAAATTGAGGCAATATTATGTCTATTTATGTAGTAGTAGACCCAATCAATGCCATGTGATATTTTCCCAAGTATATATTCATTCAATTGCAGAGCTTCTGAAATTGCCATTGTAAAATATTGGTGGAAATCTTTGTTTTCTTTCCATTTTAACTTTTATGTATGAAGTTGGCAGGTTATATTAATTTGATTTCTAGTTTTGTGTTCAGTATTGTAGTTAAGGTGAAGCAAAACAAATCCTGCTGTAAAAATAAATCCAAATCTTAGTTGAGTGGGAAATGAACATGTTTCGTATCGCTCTTAACTGGGAGAAAAATTCTCATCACAAAACAATCCTTAACTTTAGATTACACCTGGATTTGCCTAACATGCTAGCCCAAAATATGTTGTGGAAATGTGATTTATTTATAATTGAAAATATGATATGAACTAAGGAAATGGGTTAATTTAGTAAATTATGTTTCAGCTAATCACGAGGATTGTGTGAGCAAAGCAAAATAAAGAGGCATGGGACCACAAACAAACATTTTTCTACCAACAATTTCTGAGCCCACCCCCCCATTACATTGAAAAGAAAGTTCTTGACAATGAAAACCCTCTGAACATATCAGAATTGGAGTAATATATATAGGGTGAATTCCTACTATTCAGGTTCAATGCTTGAGATTGACTTTATGGTGTTCCACTGAAAAGTTTTCTGTAAAAGAATTTTCTTGAATCAATTCTTACCTCCAAAACAATAATGAAGGTAGAGAAAATAAGACCCTTATGTGTGTCTCCTGTAACCTACCTCTTCAGATTCCAAAAAGATTCATAAAGGGTCTTTTTGGAGTGAGAAGAATTGGTAAAATAAAATAAAAGTTGCACTTCCAGTAGGTTTGATTCCTACTTTCTCTATAAATAAAGTAGCATACCTGCTTGTGTGCTAGGTAGTATAAGATGGCATGAAAATTTATCTTTAAAGAAATGGCAGAATTATGTTACTCAAGCAAGAGAATCAAATTATTTTTTTCTGTTAAGTATTCACAGATTATTTTTATTCTTATCCAAGTCAACACTATTTAATTAGAGTCTTTCATTGTATAGTATAGCCCATTGTAGTAATATTTCAGTGCACAGGGCACTTTGCTTATCTATATATTCTATACAATACACATTTTTCTTTTAAAAAATCAGATTTGTTTAAACCTAAACAAAAATAATGCATTGTACTCTTTGAATTATTTATATCAAATGTTGACTGAATGGGCTGGACCCATTAATGTATGGAATGTTGTAATCTATTAATATTGTTTGCTCTATCTATTAATATTATTTGCTCCATATAATAATTGTACAATTGCCAACAAGATTTGAGCTTGTAACAATGTTTTAATTTACCTCTAGTAAGCAATACTAATAAATGTTTGTAATTTCTGTGATGCGGTCTTTCATAGTTGACAGAAATTAAGTGTAACTGAAGAGCAGTTCTTGCAAGATTCTTCATGAATAAAATAACCAATTCATTATAATACATTAGACACTACTTGAATAAGCTAAGATAATTGACTTCACTACCTGTGAAGTCATCTTAGATCCGTGATGGTGAACCTATGGCACGTTGCTCTGGATCAGGTTCACTGCACATGCACGCACGCCTCCTGCCAGCCGGCTGATTGTCGGGTATCTGCCGAGCATGCGCGGGGGGGTAGGGCCCATGTTTCTCCCACGTGTGCATGCACAGCGGTGCGCAGGTCATGGGCGCATTTCATTATGGGTGGAGGCACGTGTTCACACGCATGCATGCACACACTTTTGGCACGCAACAACGGTAAAGTTAGCCATCACTGTCTTAGGTGATCTTGAAAAATCTGAAAGTGTAGTTGGGTTCTAGGTCATATGCTACCTGGATTGTGTTGTCAGCTTTGAAATAATTTACCTGTTCCCCAAGACAGCATCTCTAAATCTGGCTGCATTAGACAACATTTTTTCAACTTTCCTTATTTTGCTGAAGATTCTGGAGAAGATAGTGAGATTTCAATTAGAGAGTCATAATGAAACAGATAATCTGGATTTCTTTCAATCAATTATTATCAAATGGCATTGGTTACCATCAGATTGATTATTTTTTTTAGGATTGGATGGTACAGACAGGATATCCCTCTTATCCTGTTAGACATCTTTGATGTGATCAAGCACAGAATCTTTGTAGACTACAGAATTTGAAGACCGGGAGGCAGTGGGTTTTAATAGTTCTATCCTTACTCACAATCAGTCGCAGAGAAGGAATAATTGAACCCATGATTGCACTAATAAGTATTACAGGGCTTGACCCTCTGTTCTGTACTATTTAACATCTGCGTATTTCCATCCCAAACCAGGCCAGAGGTGCCATGTAAATCTTGATCTGGAGTCTATTGGTCCTCAATAACACAAAAGAAGCTCAGATTGAATCCCAGCAAATTGAGCTGTTCTTTTTTTTTAAAAAGTCATAATGAAACAGATAATTAATCTTGATCTAATCGTTATGCTAGATAGAGGTAATACTTTCTCTGAAGGAGCTAGTCCACAATTGGATGGTTCTGTTGCACTTTACAACTGCTAAAACAACAGATGGAGATTATGGCCAGGGCAGAATTTAGAGACTCTAACAGTAGTGACTCATCACTTCAGAAATATTAATATAATATGCTCTTAGTCTTTGATGACAATCCAGAAACAGCAGTTGGTACAAAATATGATTGGACTGGATAAGAGCCACTTCTGTAATGTAATTGTTTTGTAATGCCGCTATTAACAATAAATTTTCAAATACAATGCTAGTTTTTGCACTATAAAATTATGGCTTGGTTCCTAGTATTTGAGGAACTATTTTCAAAGTATTTCTGCTCTTTCCATGTACATTTCCCGAAGGGAATGCTTCGAATTCAATTGAAATAATATGGATATTTTGGGCCCAAAAAGTCCTACTTTGTGGTGCCATCAAAGCTGTGAAAAACTTTGCCACTGAAAGTTTGCCTGAATTTCTACCCATCTTTCATGGGACAGCCAGGACATTTTTATTCAAGCAGACATGGGGAAGTTTTTTGGATTGAGTGATCTGATTGGGGAATTCTTATTTCTTATAGTGTTAATTTTACATTAAAATTGGGCCATATGTTTTTATATCTTTCGTGGGTTGATTTGGTTGTTTTACAATATTGATATTGTAATTTGCCAAGTTGTTGTATTGGCATAGTAGAGGTTTATTATGGGATTTCATAATTAGTTTTTAATTCACTCAGAGTCTAGGATTCTGGGTAGCATAAAAATGCATGTAATAAATAATTTCCCGAAGACCATAAAAAGTTCATACTTCTACCATTTTGCCCAATACAATAATATATATGAAGTGGAGTATAAAATCCTTAAAAGATAAGTAAGTATTCTGGGTCAATGAAAGGCCTCATCCAGCATTCTTATTCCATAATGTCCAACCAGTT